ATGTTTAAGATGTCTTTTGAAGCTATCAAGTGTTCTTATTTGTCTTAGTTTCATGGGTAATCTGTTCCACATACATGAGCCAGTGTCAGGACAAGACTACCGCCTACCTGAGATCCTACAGGGATGCATATAAGCCTTTACAACCCCCAAACCAATAAAATGCCTCTACTACAGATGAAAACTCTGGCGTTGACCAGATGACAAGGACATGTGGTTACTTGAGGGAGGCATTGCGCTGCCAAGAGCGAAATGCTCGAAGCTAAAGGGAATTGAAAACAACAACATGCCTAGTGAGTGGTTGGCGGGTGCTCAGGTGTTGTTGTTTTTTTCTTTTCTATTAAACATCTATTGTTCTTATCTCTCATCCTTCTTTTTTGAGTTTGTTACTCTCTTGTAACATTTCAAATCTGCGGCACTTATAATGACCTTGTTGTGTTGCAAGTGCCGTAAAACACTACTAAAACCAAAATTAACTAAGCCCTAACATGGCATGCCCTGTTTCTCGTATACGTAGCTTCCACGTATTGAGCTAAATTAAACTTTGATACCCCCCCCCAAAAAAAAAAAATAAAAAATATATATACAATCAACACACAAACAATAAATATTAAAAAAAAAAAAAAGAGTAGGCACTGTTGTACATCTCATAGAAGTTGTGTTGCCAACAATAGCGCGAGAGGTTGGTGGGGGAATTAACATGTTCGTATTCACAGTAGAATTGCAAATGGGCTGTCTTATCAATTTCATGCTCATACTGTGCGAAACAACATAAGGGGAACTGCAGCTTTTTCTTTCCTCATCCTTACTGTCGTCATTTTTCCTCTACTTCTTTTGTATGTTTGTCACTCTCTTGTGAACAGCTATTTCCGGGGTGCCTTGATAGTCGATGCAGACTTTGTGTTGTTGAGGCTAGAGAGGTGAGCAGAGAAAGCCTGATTTCCCTGTTTGGACTTCTCTGTTGACATCCACCCCTTGGCGCTCATATGACTTTATGCAGTTGCGAGCGCCGTAGAAAAAAAACTTACTAAAACTAAAAACTCTCTAGTAAACCTAAAATTCGGTACTTATATATGACCAAAAGAGTTGCAAGTGCCTTAAAAGTACTTTATTCTATCACTATTTTCTGTCATCCTTTGCCACCCTCCTTCTTTTTTATGTTTGTTACACTCTTATAAATCGAATCCTCGGCACTCGTGTGCCTGAAAAAGCTTCAAGTGATTAAATGCACCTTTTTCCTTCACTACAATGTCATCCTTGGCTACCCTCCTTCTTTATTATGTTTGTTACATTAATTTATGTAAATCCAATCTTCGGCACTTATATTATGACCTTAAGTGTTGTAGAGGCCGTAAAATCTCTATCAAGCCGAACAAATCCACT